TCTAACAGTCAGGACCCTCAGCTGCAGGTCTGTTGGAGTTTGCTGGAGGTCCACTCCAGACCCTGTTTGCCTGGGTATCAGCAGCAGAGGCTGCAGAAGAGTGAATATTGCAGAACAGCAAATGTTGCTGCCTGATCATTCCTCTGGAAGCTTCGTCTCAGAGGGGTACCTGGCCATGTGAGGTGTGAGGTGTCAGTCTGCCCTTAGTGGGGAGTGTCTCCAAGTTAGGCTATTCGGGGGTCAGGGACCCAGTTGAGCAGGCAGTCTATTCGTTCTCAGATTTCAAACTCCGTGCTGAGAGAACTGCTGCTCTCTTCAAAGCTGTCAGACAAGGACATTTAAATCTGCAGAGCTTTCTGCTGCCTTTTGTTTGGCTATGCCCTGTCCCCAGAGGTGGAGTCTGCAGAGGCAGGCAGGCCTCCTTGAGCTGCGGTGGGCTCCACCCAGTTTTAGCTTCCTGGCTGCTTTGTTTACCTACTCAAGCCTCAGCAATGGCGGGCGCCGCTCCCCCAGCCTTGCTGCCACCTTGTAGTTAGATCTCAGACTGCTATGCTAGCAATGAGGGAGGCTCTGTGGGTGTGGGACCCTCTGAGCCACGTGCAGGATATAATCTCCTGGTGTGTTATTTGCTAAGACCCTTGGTAAAGTGCAGTATTAGCATGGGAGTGACCCGATTTTCCAGGTGCTGTGTGTTACAGTTTCCCTTGGCTAGGAAAGGGAATTCCCTTCCCCCTTGCACTTCCTGGGTGAGGCGATGCCTCGCCCTGCTTCAGCTCTCACTCGGTGGGCTGAACCCACTGTCCTGCACCCACTGTCCAACACGCCTCATTGAAATGAACCCAGTACCTCAGTTGGAAATACAGAAATCACCCCTCTTCTGTGTCACTCAAGCTGGGAGCTGGAGGCTGGAGCTGTTCCTATTCAGCCATCTTGGAACCCCCCTCCACTAAATATTTTAAACACATGCCTGAACTCTGTTGAGCACCCTCATTTCTTGACTGGAATGTTCCGGTGGTCACATAACTGGCTTCCCTGCTTTCACTCTTGCCTCTCCTCCCAGTGCATCCTGGGATCTTACCCCAGCACAGGGGGATTAAGTCATCCTATTGCTGAAATTCCCCAGGGCTCCTGTGAGTACATAAGTCCTTCTAGCCACCTAGCCCCCTTTTTGCTTCTTCAGTCACATCTGCTACCTGACATTTCCCCTTTGCCATAGAAGCTCAGTCACACCCAGGCTGGCCTTCTTTCTGTTTCTCTGACATGCCAGGCCCTTTCCTGTACTGGCTATTTCCTCTGTCCTCTTGATGCCACTTTTTGCCATGTAGATCTTGGCTTAAATGTCCTCTTCTCTGAGAGGCCTGTACTGAGAAGCCAGTCAGTCCCTGCTACACCACCCTAATTTGACGTTGCCTTCCTGCTCCTGACCCTTTCTCACATTTTTTTTTAATCAGTTTGTCAGCTGCTTCCCCTTAATTGAGCATAAGCTTCTTGAGTATATGTGTGCTATGTTTGATAAAAATTTAGGCGGTTTTGATTTTTTCTATTTTTCAGTTATTCTGTAATGTTGTTATATTGCTTTATAAATAGTCATAAAAAATATAAATGTATGCCCAGCTGGGGATTAGAGGCAAGAATGCAAGGGAAGGAAGGGGTGATTGGAGCACAGACATCTGGTAAGTTCTCTGCATTACCACAGAGAAAATAAAAATGTGTGTGCAGAGTGGCTGTGACTGTACTGAACTTTCTGAGCTTATTTTTGGGATGTCCAGAAGCCTCATTGCAGCTCATTTGTCTGATGAGCACTGCCTACCTGGCTGGCATCTCTTTAACTCTCTTCCACAGGTCTTTAAACTTCATCACTGATTGACTTTTGAGAATAATTCTTGTGTCTTTAAATATAAGTATGGAATGAATTGCAATAATTTGCATACTACTTGTTCCAAATGTCCTATAGGTTGACTTTGTGAAGAAACAATTGAAAACTGTCTTTGAAAGACTTAGCCTGGAGCAACAGAGAATAGAAAATGATCTTTCAGGCTGGAGTATAAAGGTAAGTGTGATGTGGCTAGTAATTTATGTGTTTTTCAATTTGTCATTTATGTTAAATAAAATAATTATATGCTTTTTTTCAGATTCTAGATCATTCTTTGGAAGAAAAGACTAACCTGCTTAGTGAACTGCCCATTGAATTAGGAAGTTTGGAATGCCCATACCCTGATTTGAAATCTTCAATCCACAGTGAGTTCTGTAAGTTTACACAGAAATATCAAAAGAAGCTTCAAGATGTTGATCTGCAGTTGGAAGACATATACAGGTGATATGATAAAACTTATTGAGTTCTGTGTAGACTTTTGACACTAACTTTTTGTTTTTGTTTGGGGTCACTATACTTCCAACTTACTGAATAGTTACTATGTAATTGGAATACAATCAATAAATGTTTAGATTGACTATTTGCTGAATGGAGAGGGTTTTATTTTTTCAAAAAGTTTCTTGACATAATAGTTCTTAATATTTTTGTAAGGTTAAGACATGTTGAAAACATCTCTCTTATTGAGCTCTTCATGACACAGATAAGAAATAGTTTTCAAATATGAATTTTCAGTAACCAGAACTTTTCTTTTCAAGATATGAAGCTGCTCTGCAGTAATTGATACGGTGGAAAATGTACCCATGGAATTATGTTACTTGTAATTGACTGTAATTTTATCCTATGATAAACACAGAGTATGTTTTATAAATTAAAAAAAAATTTTTCTATGTGTTAAATTTCATTTTTAGGAAATAGACTTCTGGTTTTCTCCCAAGAGTGATTATCCACTTCTTCATGGTGAATGTAATGTTCAGTGATTTAAAATTCAGTTTGGCAGTGGTCATCTTCTCTAGTGTCTTCTATGTTAAAATTCGCTTAGATGACAAATCCAGATACACCACTCTGAACTAGATCAATGGTCTACCTTATAGTGTATATAAAGCTTCTAGGGGACATTTTGTAGGGAAACAGCTTTGTGTGCGATGATATTGACCTCAATATTTTCCCCAAAAGAATGTATATTTAAAAAGAAAATTATTGAAGGGACACATTTATAGTAAATTAAAATAAAAGGTTTATAACTTTGGAATGGAAGATGATGAATATGACAAATATTTATATTTCTTATGAATTGCCTGTGAACTGCTGCTCCTCTGTATGAGACTACTACTGGTAAGAAATAAATTACAGGGGAAAAAACCCTTAAATTATACCAAGTAGAGTTATTTGCTTTGGTGGCTTTCTGATCTAAACTCTTCAGTTAGAGCTTCTATTTGTTTTAGCACATTTGTCAGTGATTAGAGCCAATTGTAGGTGAAGTTGGAGCCCTTTTTCTGACGTTAGCTTCTCCCCATCACATACCTTTTGGTCTCCTGATAGCCTTTCCTTCCCCATCTCTCTCCTTTCCTTTCTTCTTTCCTATCTTGCAGTAAAGCTGAGAAATAATAATATACAATTTACACTTGATGATTGATTAATTACATGTTAACTGGAACTCAGTCATAGTGAAGTCCTAACTCAACCATGCACTACACTTAAGTTTCCAATTGTTAAATGAACATTCTCTTCCCACTCCCCATCCCAATCTTGTTAAAGAGATTTTAGAACTCATCAAGAAAGAGGAAGAGGATTTTTTGTTTGACAGTGGAGAGGGCATTATAATCAGACTGATTAACTGCAGCTGGGAAGAGGGTAGATCTGACCCTATCATTTAAAGCAAGTTGGCTGCCCCGGGACCTCCTCTCCCAGATGATACCTTGTCCCCTGAGAAAGCTGGCTGAGATCATGATGTTTCTAGGTTAGTAACTCCTCAAGAGGAAGGAGTTTGCCTTAGCAGTCTAAAATGGCTTCCTTCCAGTAAGACTTATGTTTCACAGCCCATTTTCCTTCTTTCTTTTTAATCGAATCTCAATTTCTGCTCTTTCATAATGCAACCCTGTGTGACTCAGAAACAGTTGGGATTCACAGCTACATTACAATTACTGAAGATTAAGTGGAGGATTAGATGAATATATTTCACATGCTAACAATTCTGCAGAAGGAAGAAATATTGAGGATAAAATAGCTTAGAAAGGCTTGATGGAGCAAGTAAAATTCACTATGGACTTTGAAGAAGGGGTATGCTTAGCATAGGCAGAAGGGGGTGGGGAGGCATTCTTAGAAGGGAGATTAAATGACTAGACTGTAAACCCCTTGAGGATAAAGTAATTTAGTAGTTATATTTGTATCCTTAACATCTTCTAAATAAATGATTGTTCAATTGAGTTGAATTTGAAAGGAAAAACAATGAAGGAAAGGCATGTTATGGGAACAGTAGGAATCTACTTTGGAGGAATATAAAGTTCATAAATTCTAGTTTAATAGTCTGCTTGCCACCTATAATTATCCATAATACATTTTATTCAGTTGATGGTGTGTTCTACTTGATGAATATTTATTGAATAAAACTTAAAATACTGTAGTCGTTGCAAGCTCCCTGGTAGGGGATTCAACAGACAGATTAGTTTCGTCTGTTTTGCCTCTGAGAAGGCTTGGAATATTTGGGGGAAGAAACATATATACCTCTACCCTGACCAAATAAAAATAACATGCAAATGTCAACTAAAGAAAATATTTTATAAATATGCTGGCAGGAAATAATGAAGCATCAATAAAACCTGAATGAGGTTTCAGGAGTTATGTCTTTGAGAAGAAAGAGTAAAAGAACTATTTCTGAATAAATACAGAGGTGGTAGCTATCAGTAGTCTGTGGCTTTTGAGCAGTAAGCATAAAAGTATACTGTTCTACCTAGGACAGTGAATTATAGGTTCAATCATAATATTTGTTCTTCCAGTTTAACAGTATCTTCACTACTTTGATATGGCCTTCTCCCCTCTTTGTTCTAGTTATTGGGTTCACATAGATTGTGTTCATGTATGTGGGAGTGTGTGCATAGTTTAGACAGTTGTGCACTGCTATGCCATATGAAAGTTGACATATCCAGGGGGCATTGTTTAATTATAAAAGGTTTTCATTGGCAAAAGGCAGTGGACATCATGGTTAGTCCCAGTATTTATTCAATTCTTCCTATTTTGTAGTAGCTCGCTGGTTTGGTTTGAAATGACTCCATCTCTAAATCCAAAGGTAGGCAGTGATAGGGAGTATGTACCAGTCAGTGCAACCTCATTTCCCCAGGTCACAGTGACTAGCTCAGGGAGGTCTAATCCAGATGAATATACATCACATGCTGATATGGTTTGGCTGCGTCCCTACCCAAATCTCACCTTGAATTGTAATAATCCCCATGTGTCAAAGGTGGAGTCAGGTGGAGATAATTGAATCATTGGGGCAGTTTCCCCCATACTGTTCTCATGGTAGTGAATAAGTCTCGAGATCTGATGGTTTTATAAATGGGAATTCTCCTGCACAAGCTCTCTTGCCTGCCACCATGTAAGATGTGACTTTCCTCCTCCTTTGCCTTCTGCCATGAGTGTGAGGCCTCCCCAACCATGTGGAACTGTGAGTCAATTAAACTTCTTTCTTTTATAAATTACCCAGTCTTGGGTGTGTCTTTATTGGCAGCCTCAGAACAGACTAATGCACATGCTAATATTTCTGCAGAGGAAAGAACCATTGAGGATAAAATAACTTAGGAGGGTTGATGGAGAAGCAAAATTCACTATGAACTTTGAAGAATGGGTAGGGTTAGCATAGGCTACCCTGAGCAAAGCTCAGGACTTTTGTTAGGTACTTGTGAGAAGCAGTATCTTTTCTTCTGCATGGATGTTACCAAGAAAGCACATGGCTGAGGTTGCTGCTGGCATCATCTGGTGACCGAAGGAAGACAGCTCTTAAAGACAGGGCAGAGCCCTGGGAGTCCTGGAAAAACTGAGCTGGTGCCTTATTTGAATGGCATGGGAAGTCCACCTCACTGCTTTAGTTTTAAGGGCCATTGGTCCAATTACTGTCTTAAACCAGTGTGACTTGGGTTTTTAATTGTTTGCAACTAAAAACATCCCTAATTCAATACAGTAATTGATTTGGCTTCAAAATATCCATGACTGATGGAATTAATCTGAAAAATTCTTAAATATATTCCAATTTATTAGGAAGATTAAGCTTGTAAAATCAGCCAAACTTTAAAAATCAAGATTAACTAGTGGTGGAGGGATGGGACTTGCACAGCCAAATATAAATACATATTTTAAAATAAAAATAAATTAGAAAGTTCTATGTGACTATGGAGTATGTAGCAGATCAGTGGAACAAAATAGAAATAAAAAGAAAACAGAAAAATATAATGATTTAATTTATTATAAAGGCTAGTTTCAAAACTGGGGTAATATCAGATTATTAAAGAGATAGCATTACATAATAGGCAATTGGAAGATAAGGTTAATCTCTTCATTCTATTTGACTCAAGAAACTCCAGATGCATTAAGATAGGAAGAAAGAAAATCATAAAAGAACAAGATAAAAATAAAAATAAATAACCTTGAAGTGGAGAAGGCCATTCAAAGCCTATTATTTTCAGTGAAACTCATAAAGAAATAGTTTAAATAAATACAATGGCATAAATATTTTTAAAAATCTAGCATTATCGTTTCTCAGAGAAGTTTTAACTCTAGAAAATAGAGACTTCTGGTTTCCATTCTAGCATGTAGAAACATAGTTGCCACTCGCTTATTACAACAAATAAAAAGTTGAACAAACTGAAAAATCAACAGATTGTCTTCAATCTTTCAGATAAGTGAGACCACAGTACAAAATGCTTCCCCCAAAATTGGAGAGACAGAAAGATACAAAGAATTACAACCTACTGGAGCAGAAACACATGAGCAGAAACCTCTGCAGGAACCAATAATGAGCTAAGAAACCCTGAACCATAATTGATAAACTGCTAGAGACTCACTGTGGACAACTCTGAGAGTTAAAAACTCTAAGAGGACCCAATCCTAGGAGGCGCTCCACACTTTTATGAGTTTTACACCAGGAGCTATATCAGGTCCTCACTGATATATAAATATCTGAGAAAAATTCCCTTTTGCTTCTGATAGCAGGAGGATAAAAGGAACCAACTTGATCTATGCATTCAATGCAATCCCCGTCAAAATCCCAGCAAATTAGTTTTTGGATATTGATTAGCTAGCTGATTCTAAACTTTATGTGAAAAGATGAAAGACCCAGATAGCCAGATCAATATTGAAAGAGAAGAGCAAAGTTGGAGGACTGATACTCCCAAACTTCAAGACTTACCATAATCAAGATTGTGTGGTATGGCCAGAGAATAGCCAAGCAGATC